GACGACGCGAAAATGGCGTAAAAATGGCGTGATATGCCCATCTATGGATGTGCCCACGCCATTTTTACGCCATTTTCACGTCCTCGTTGACGTCGCGTCGTCTTTGCTAAACCTCGCTATTGATGAACTTTAGACTTCGCTAATGCTTTCGTTTCCCCGGGTGTAAATAGCCGGGGGGAATTAGTACCCTCGCACGGCGCTTCGCGCCGCCGGCTCGGGGATAAAGGGTTTTGATCAGCAAGCTTGTCACAACATATTATGTTTTCACAGAGCGAGAGAGTGGAGCGGAGAATATATCACTGATTTCCAAGAACTTCTACCAGGTATTTTCAGAATCATTCTCAGAGATATGAAAAACTAGTTTGGTATTATTATTCTGACACTGCAGAGAAATATTCGTTGTCTTGAGCGCGGATATTCGAAATCACATTTTCGGGTTTAATTCTAGACCTCCGCTCTACCCATTGAACTCTCAACACCATTTTCGGCCCAGATGTGATAGCAATTTCCGCACATAATATACAAACGTATACAAAATTTGCAAACTTTGCAACGCTATATTTTCCTCATTTTACAACATTTCGCGACCAAATTTTGCAATTTTACTTATTTTAGTATGCTCTTTCTAGCTGTGGTGATTTATTTGCATCTCCTTGCCTAGTTTTAAAATTAGTCTATAATGGGAATTGTCTATTTCAAAGATTTTCCCCTTATTGCAAAAATATGGTTTCTGTTAAACTTTTTTTTCTCTTAAAATCATGTCTATATAGTTGTGATTGAAAGTTTTGATAGGAGCTTAAAAATAGTTCTATTTTTCAAGTCGCGCTCTACTTTTTATTAATTTTAGGCGCAGCTTGTCACGTGGATATAGAGAACAAGGTATAGCACAGTAACCCGCTTAAAGAACCACTATTTTGTAGCAACTGGCTACAGTTATTCTTAAGTCCATAGGGGAATTTGTTCGCCCGAAGCGAAAAGCAAATCTTGGCAATGTGATTGCCGGCTGATTGGTCAGCGAAGAAATTCGTTGGATCAATTCTTACTCTTTTACTTTCCGCGCAAACAAATTCTCCTGGTGGAAAATGAGCTTTATGCAGCCTAGATCTAGACCTTTACTCGGCTGGCTTTGGCAGGCTTGGTCAATTTCGGGCTAGCATTTGGTAAGTATCGCCCCCGATCGCCTAGGTCCCAGTCTTCTCATGTGAAAAAGCGCTGAATATTAAAAAATAAAAATAGAAGGTCTAGGCTGGACTTTATGCAGAGTTCAATATAATTCTGAAAACTTGGTCTGACATTGTGTCAGACCAACCCATGTTTTTGTCGGACATGATCGGACACTTAATTATTCTCAAGAGGGACGTTGTCAGTTGTCACACAGTACTAGACACCAAAACCGGGACAACTACCAAAAATCCAAACCATATGCATATGTATATTGGTTAACAAAAGTACACAATATCAACGACAACTTACTCAGTAACAGTATATATAATCATGGTATATAATATAAAATATTTCTCTCAGCACACGTGATGACATTGTTATTAACGAAGTCAGATTCTGTGATTGTCTAGCAGACGGAATCTTTGTTTGCATGTGTTAAAGATTACAGATTTTGTTAAAAGAATTTACAACTAGTGATGGGCGATACCGAGTACTCGGTATTCGATACCAGCGATACCACAAACAACGGTATTGGTATCGATTACTGACGTGGTATCGTTCGATACTTGCACCATTTTTTAAACGACTTGTTTAATTTCACTTCTTAGTTGAATAAGACTTAATGAACCACTAAAATAACTCTTAATATTCCAAATGTGGTGCGCCAAGTCATGTATAGAAAATATTTATTACGTTTCGGGCTTTTGGTTTACTTATAGCTTTATTTATTTTACATACAGTAATGTAAAATGTTTTTCCGCTGACTGGCAGGTATCGAAAGTAGCCGATACTAGCAATTTAAGTACTCACTTCCGGTATCGAAAATTGAAATTTTGTGTTTATTTTGGTATCGAAATAGGTATCGGTATCGGCCGATACCGATCTTAAAAGTATCGGTATCGAATTAAAAATCCTGGTATCGCCCATCGCTACAACAATAAAGGAAGAAATATTGAAATTGATGAGACCAAACGGTCAGCCATAGTGTCCGTGCAGAGTAATCAGTAGACGGCCATATCAGCATTTTGATCGGCTAATGGCCGGTGGCCAACATTTTTTTTTATCCCTGGCTTTATGTATAGGTTGTATACAAAGAGGGTAATCCAACTTTGGCATGTTATCCTATGTAAAGTCCGGATGAATCGAAAATGAGAGTGCATGCGGTATTGGTCCGCTGTTCTTAATGCGTTCCCAATACTATCATGATTTTAGAAGTTAAAATCGTACTTGAAACATTCATCAAACCTTTATTTTGTATCTAGAGCTAGAAATGTCCACATGTCGTAACAATTCATGACTCTGTTAGCTCTCGTTGGACAGGGGTTTTAAGCTCTGTTCGAATGAAGATGAGAGTTGACTAGACTGACGAGAGTTGAGAAGCGAGTGTTTGTATGAGAGTTTTCCCATGTCTCGTGGCCCAGTCACAAGAGTTGCATGAGAATTGACGGATTGAGTTGATTGGAGATTTCCGCGCGGGAAGCGAAAATTCTCATCAACTCTCATCAAAGTTTGAACCAGTTCAAAGTTGATCACAGTTCAGATGAGAGTTGGTGGTCAAACGCGAGCGAGAGTTGCAACTCTCATCAACTCTGATCCACGTTTGACTGAAGCTTTATATATACAGGGTGTCTAAAAAAAAAACGCTATGGAAATTCAATAGGCTGTAAACAATCATAAACGTGGCTAAACAATTCAATTTTTACATACGACGAAAGAACAGTTATTTAGCTTTTCGATGATACTCTTTTCAAATCGTAACGATGAGAAATGGCCACATACTCGTCAAATAAAAATTGCCGGTCGAAATCACATTCTTCCACCGTTGGGAATTGCATGGAAAACGAAACATAGACAATTCCCAAAAGGGAATTAAAATTGAATGTTAAATTATCTAAACATTAAACATGGTTCAATTAACCCCTGAACAAAGAACATTCGTATTCAAAACATTTTACGAAACAAATAGCTTGTAGCAGGCTTGCGTTGCTTTTGGATTACTAACTTTGCATAATTAATGTGTTTTCAATTCCCAACGGTGGAAGAATGTCATTTCGACCGACAATTGTTATTTGACGAGTATATGGCCATTTCTTATTCTTACGATTTAAAAAAGGTATCATAGAAAAGCTAAATAGCAGGTCTTTCGTCCTATGTAAAAATTGAATTGTTTAGCTACGTTTATGATGCACGACAGCCTGTTGAATTTCCATAGCGTTTTTTTTTAGACACACTGTAGATATACTTTTTCCATAACAGTAAAGATCATCAGCTATTTTAGCTGTCACATGGTACCATTTTTTTGTCGTTACTATATAAAAAATGCCAAATTGGAATAGACTTAGAATGATCTGTCGAAGTCGGATCTATACAGAAATTGGGAAATGAATGCAAGATTACTGTCCAAATATTGAAATTCTCGTTGTGTCATTCCAGAAAGCATCCATACCTCCCCCACGGAGGAAATTGGAAGTTAATACTCAAAGAAACAATTGATCTTTTTAGAAAATATCTTTCTGATCGTACTCAAATAACAGTTATTAACAACATACGATCTGATACTCGTAAAGTAACATGTGGAGTTCCTCAGGGGTCTATCTTAGGTCCACTACTGTTTTTAATATATATAAACGATCTACCTAATAGTGAATTGGTATCAGATGGGCGTTTATTCGCTGATGATACCAACTTGACTTTTGCGGACAGCAACCCTGACAAGTTGATTTCTGTTCTAAATGACGACCTTAAAACTCTCCAAAACTGGCTTAACCTGAATAAACTAAGCCTGAATGCGATTGAAACTAAATGTATGTTTATGGCATCCAGGCAAAAATTAAGTACTATTCCTGAAGAACCTAATATTGCTATCTCCGGAAACAAAATTGAAAGAGTTAGATCTTATAAGTGTTTAGATTTAAAACTGGACGAGAGTTTGACATGAGAGCATCATGTTTCTACTATAATCTCCAAAGTCTCCAAGGTGATTGGAGTTCTACGAAAACTAAAACCATTGCTCCCAAGAATTATTACTGAATCTGATTATAACATCCGGTCATCAGATATTTTAACATCATTGAATTGGACCAACCTTGAAACCAGACGTACCCAACAGTTCAAAACTTTTATGTACAAAACTGTTAATAATATGGTTCCTAGTTACTTGTCTGGAAAATTTACTTCCACGTCAATGATACACGAACACATAGTTTGCGTGGATCTAATCATAAAGTTTTTGTACCAAGACCCCTAACGGAATCCTTGAAGAAAAGTTTTTCCTATAGAGCAGCTACCCTATGGAATGACATACCCGTCGAACTCACTAGAGTTCAATCTCTCGCTGAGTTTAAATCTAAAATATCTTAATATTTCTTTTATATTAGTTTCTTTGCATGTGTAATTTGTTACTTTGGTAAATAGTTTGATACCTTTTTATTAGTAATTAGTCTACTAGTATAGGTACACGTCTCAATTGAAGAGCACATAATATAACCTGTGAAATGGACCTCGTGTTTTAAATAAAGATGTCAATCAATCAATCCCCTTCGGATGTCCTAATACACTTACTATTATCGGAAACAAATTTTTCTCCCCTCCCCCGCCGGCAGAAATTTCCTCCTTGGGGCGTGGATCTTTTCTCGAACGACTCATTTCTGATTGAAATTTAAGAATTTGAAAAAGATTCCCTAACGTTTGGGTTACCTTTCAAGTCTCATCTTTCAACTCTGATACAAATTTGATTGTCTTTAGAACACTGAAGAAGAGGAGGTGCCTGATATTTCGCTTATTTCTGGTCAGTTAAGGCCTGTGTGCGCCCAAAAAGGTTAGTATTGCAGTCCAACAAAATCTCATGCAGGTCCCCAGTTAGAGCATAAAATTTGGCACGGATGAGCATATAATTATACCAATGTAAACAATATTGGCTATGGGCCCATCGAAATCTTTCCCATAGACCCACTTAATATCGACTTGATTTTATTTTTCCTTCACTTTTTAAAATGTATAGTACTTTTACAGCAAAAATATCATTAAACTTAGTTTTACTGGGTGTCCGGGAAAGATTTTGATGGGGCCCCATATATCCTATATTGTCTACAATTTATGTGTTGAGTGGCCAATCAAAATGCAAGATTTGTAACAGACCATAGTTAAGTGTATACTATTTAACAAGTAGTTATATATTTATCAGGAATAAATGTGTATATTTTGAACAAGTACATGATAAACTTTCAATATATTCTGTATCTCATAAGCACAATAACCCAATACTGGACTAATGTAAACAATTTGCATGGTCTTTGCTTTTACAACGTATCGTTCGCTTAACCGCTGAGATTGCTCGAAATTTGGACACATTTTGTACCAAAACTGTCTGGAGATGCTTCTTAAAATCTGCCTTTTGAAATTCGTTGTTTGAGGCTAAATTTTGTCTTTAGTAACTCAATCTTTCCTGATGTCTTGGGAATGTGCAATGATACCACAGATTGGAAATTTAATTTAATTATCTAATGCTTGAAACAAAATATGCAAACAAAACACGCGCATGAGCAGAACGGACTTGACTGCCACTTTAATTAGTTAGGTAGTATATATGGACAAAGGGGTACTTCTTTAATTAAACTAAGTATTCATGTTTTCAATTTTGTACAGAAAACAACAATGTGAAATCAGAGAGTTTGGTTTTAAGAAATCAAAACACAACTTTGTCAACACAGCATCATACGTCTGCAGGTATGTACGGTATTTTTTGAATCACATATCACCGGTTCAATCAAATAAAAATACTATATAGTCTTCACTTACAGGACTCTTCATTACATTTGACAAGATAAAAATACCGGGTATCCCAAAAAAACTGGATACTGTTTGAAAGATCATTGCATTCAGAAAGGACTAACTTAGATTTTGATATATATAACACTTGAATTGACATGCAATATTGATCGAGATACAACCAAAATAAAAATATTTATTATTTAACAAGTATAACTACATCGGTAATTATAAGGTTGTTTCATGCTAATTTTTGGAATTTTGAAATACAGTAGTTCGACGTTCAAACATCAATAGCGCAGTCAATATTGCATATATCAAAATCTAAGTTAGTCCTTTCTGAATGCAATGATCTATATTTCATGGCGATAGCTTTTATAGCTTTTACGTTACATGAAATCAAACAGTGTCCAATTTTTTGGGACACCCGGTACTAAATTATAAGGAATGGTGGCTGCATTAAGAGGATCCGCTTAATAGAGGAATTTGACTGCATGTAAAACCATGGTTGTTTTGCTCACATTCTTTTGCTCACATTGTTGTGCTCATGCTTGTCGATTCTATAGGCGTACGGGACGAGAGAGAGACTGCCAAAAATATATACAGGGTGTATAAAAAAAACTGAACAGATATGAATTTGCTCTCAATTTCGCAAAACAGCTATTAGTATCCAGTTTTTGATGTATATAGCTTCTTTGGGTACTTATAATGTAGAATAATGAAAAAATTTCTCTAACTCAAATTTTATAAACCAGGGGGGGGGGTATTTTCCAACAAACTAAAAATGACTTGCGCACGAAATTTAAACGCTTTAATCATATTTTGAGTTAATAGATGTAAAATTTGTTGGGTTTTTAATTACTGTACAAAATTTCAGACAATTTGCTTTAGTTTCAGCCCTTTAGCTGTTCATTTTTTCCTAATTAAGAAATCAGCCTTTCGCATGCTTAATTAATGCCTTTACCTAATTTGCATATGCTGACATATGCAAATTAGGCAAAGGCATTAATTAAGCATGCAAATAGCTGTTTTTAGGAAAAAATGTAAGTTTGTGTCAATAGTTAAAAGGCTTAAATTAAAGCAAATTGTCTGACATTTTGTACAGTAACTAAACACCCAACAAATTGTCCATCTATTAACTCGAAATATGATTAACGCTTTTAAATTTCGTGCGCAAGCCATTTTTAGTTTGTTGGAAAAGACACACACCCCTGGTTCACAAAATTTGAGTTCGAGAAATTATTTTAATTATTCTACATTATATACTAATGGCTGTTTTGCGAATTTCGAATCTGTTCAGTTTTTTTTATACACTCTGTATATTTAAGGCTGCATGGTTTATAATATCAAAGTTTCTGTAACCACAGTAGGAATTTTGCATAGGTAATTCTAAGTTTTGACAGATTTGTAGGGAACTCGCACAATGTTGAACACTAAAGTCAGTTCGCTCAAACATTTCTTACAAATTCTTCAAAACTTAGAATTTACCTATGCAAAATACTGTGATCACTGAAACTTTGTTAGTATACATCAGCCTTTAGCAAACCATGGAAATCCGGGCTGCTAGGAAAAATCATGAAAATGCGGGCAAATGTTTCGCAAAATATATTGTGACAGGCGTTAAATATGTGAAAGAGTAGAAGTATATACTATCAAAAATCCACTTTTTAGACTTTCAAAAATGCAATATCTCCTTTTTACATTGATCATTTAATTTAAATGTGTGCTGCCATATTTCTTGTCCCTCCAACCTGGCATTCGCGCGACTAGACCCAGGACTTTGGGAAACGCATGGCTAACCTGACAGATTGAATCAAAACAAATAGGGGATTTCTAAATAGGGTCCTGAAGAGGTAAATGGGAACTGGTATTTGCCTATTTTTGACTGGATTTTGGGTTATGGATTGGGGTTACTGGGAATGAAAGACATAATAAATGGGAATGGGAAAACCCAAATGCCATTATAAAGACAGTTGTAGTTGGACATTTCAGAGTGAAATAACTTTAAGAACAGCTACAGAGCAATTTTTGGTAGAGAATTTGTCTTAAAAAAAGTTCAGGAAAACTGAATTTAACAGGCTTATGGCTCAATGACGTCATTTTCCCTGCTATTGTAATTCACTTTTTTCTCAACAAAACTAGTTCTAAAGAGGGCAATTGAACGCAGAATTCTGTTTGAAAGTCGTCGCATAGATGAACCACTTACTTTGGGATTTTCTTTAAATTTCACAGTGGGACTGGCATTTGATCTAAAAATCATTAACTGACGCAAAATTAACAGTTTTACTGAATTTTTCAGCGGAATTTCTAGCACAACGTAGTTGGAAAGGTTTAGAGGTCAAGAGAGGTGAAACACAGGTGACCAAGGCAGTCGAAGGAAGATCTGGAATAGCTAGTGGTTATACACATGAACTTGTGCAAGATGACGACAATACATAGTACTCAAATATGCTTGGAAAATATTTTAAAAATTACCGTGCACTCAGTATTTTGATGAAATTTGCATTTCAATCTAAATCTGAGCAATTTATAGACGATTCATCTGATCCCAATATGGCAAAATATTTTGCCTTGATAACTCGGCAACATTCACTTACAACCCTCCCCCGCCCATTCAAAGAGGTCTAGCACCGCCTCTGCATACAGTTGTATTAAAGCGGTCAGTGCAGAAAACATGCGATGCGGAAAAAACATGCGAGGGAAAAGCAAAGCGCTTGTTCTGATGACTGCATGCGCCACCGAAGCCCCTAAAACAATAATATATATATATATATATATATATATATATATATATATATATATATATATATATATATATATATATATATATATATATATATATATATTATATGTGTGTGTGTGTGTGTGTGTGTGTGTGTGTATGTATGTATATGTGTGTGTGTGTGTATCTATGTATGTATGTGTGTGTGTG